ACTTAGAGCAATCCCAACACCAGCAACACCGCGAGCTTCGGATGGCGAATCGCCGGACACACGGAGAGTGAAGTGTGAGGATGAAGCTGGAACTGAAGAACGGAGAGAGATGACTGAAGTAGGATATGTATGCGTGTTTCGGAAACAGCATAAGTCTAAATGGAAGGTTTCAAGGGTTCTAGCTAAGGCGGCTTGTTAACCGATCTGGTACAGTGTGCGGACATTGAGTGCGGCTAAGTGAAGAGGAGATTTTGGTTTGGTGAATAAGGAAGCCAGGAGGTGCCCAAGCAGTGTATCTGCGGTTGAAGGACAGAACGTCTGATTTCACTGCCTTTCTGTGTAAACTGTCACTCATTCCTGTGGGGCATCGTAAGTTGGCTGCACCACCAAGTGTGTCCGAGCGTATCACCTTGCGTGGTTGAGAATATTGTAACCGCACAGGCTTTAACTCGATACTGGATTCTAAAAGGCTCGTCTTCCAGCAATGTTCCCCGTTCATATAGGAACCCCACAGATAGTGAAATAGAACAGCTGGAAGCGTGCAGGAACTCATTTATGATGCAAAAATCTTCGTTATTTACAGGAAAGAGCGACGACAGGTTATGCATATATCCAAAGATTCGTTGACTGGAATGTTGTCAACCATCTTGATTGGTTGGCGATTCCGGTCAATCGCCTGAGTTCACCTACCGTTGTTCTGATTAGTTGTCCCAGAAAAAGGCAGTTTTCGGGGCACATGCTGACTCGCTGATAGAGAAGTTATTAGGTCCATCACAAGTGTCGTTGCGTCCCACTATTCATACCCTAAACGTGGCAGCAGCGTTCCGACTCCTACTATAACGGTACGATCGTTTCCGTGTTCTAGCCACAGCGGAAGCAGTCAATCATAATCTCAACAACTCCCTTTGTGTGCTCAAAAACAATTTGTGTAGGCACTGAAGTTACCATGGCCGGATTTCCGATAAACGACACGGTATGTAGCATCCGAATAAATGATGACTGACTTCTAACGAATTCAGGCCACCCACATTTGCATTGGGGGCCAAATACGATGCAAACTCTTGAACACTGAAATGACTTCTTTCCTTCATAAATCCCTCTGTGAAACTGATCATGTGTTGTGATGGCGTGAGTAAGCTGCACTGAAAACGAGATTGCTTGGCGATTTTGTGTTCCCATCATTACTTATATCCATCAAAATAACCCAAATATACGCTTATTCCCTCACTCAGAATCACTGATCGTGATTCAGGGGTTGCACTTTAAATTGCGTTGCGGTCAAATAGATAGAAGTCTGGTAGAACTTGTGCAGCAACCTCATAGACTGAAAGAAAATTCCCGTTTTTGTTCCTTTTCTCCTTTTTGTGCTTAACAAACATCTATTAACAATCCGTGACTTTATGCACGATTCATTTTTTGATAGAAAACTAAACCAAACAGCAGTTTAAATAAGGTTTATCGATCTCGTACGAGTTAATTGATTTTCAATATGCTGATGTTGAAGTTGGATGCCCTTTCGTCATGCTACCGTGTTTCACAGTCTTCAAATGATGACTCCATCTGGTTCACAAATTGCTCACTGGGACTTAATGTTCTCCAATATGCAGATTTTCCATCAGCCTTCAATGGGACACTCGTACCTCGCTCTTTTCAGTGATCTACTATTCTTTACCATTTCGCACACCCCAAGGACACAATCATAACGGAAAAGTATATCGGTGCAGGCCTTTCCCACAAAAAAAACGATTGATACCAGTTCATCATTATTGCCTGTATCCACGTTCGTCTGTATACAAGTCGTCATTTATCTTATTACATTGAGTGAAAAAGTACCTTCAGTTCTACTAATGAATTTTATCTGGGAGTAGCCCTCCTCAAAGACCTCACCCCGTTCTAGAGCATTGCTAAGAAATCGATAAAGATACGGCTCCAATTCTTTCACGGTTTACTCCTGGAACCTGTACAAATTCTTCATTACCTATTGAACTGTTTTGTGTATTCTTTCATAGTGCCACTTATTCTCTATAGTTCCCCTGTCATCTTGGTTGAAATTTATTTTGGATAGAACTATCAACATAAATAAATGTCTTTTACTTCCTTTTTCTATTTATTGAATATACAAATGTACAGTCGATTTTCAGGAAGGGGGGCTGCAACCATACAAAGGCTGCCTGGGGAAAATACAGATATAGGGAAGACGGGCGGCGGTGGAGCGGTTTGAACCCGGGACACTCAGGTCACTAGCTGGTGACCTTACCACTTGGCCCTTGTGTCACGTTCCAGTGGTATCCCCCGCGCTCTGGGTTACCCATTTGATAAAACACTTCGACGTGAGACACATTAAAACTAGACAAGCGTGTATAAACTGTTTCTCTGTTACCTAGCACGTAACCAGCTTCAGTTTGTACAACTGACCAGAGACTCCATCCGTTGAGGCGCGAAACCGAACCCAAGAGCACACTTAATATAAGGTCCTGGAACTATTCCCTGGTAGGGCTGACTCCGCGAATGCCAATCATACATTTTTCTCTTTGCAGTGTGATGAACAGCAGAATGAGTGAACTTCGTCGTCATAAAAATTAACAGTAACCGGAAACTGAGACGTGGGAGTAGCGACCACATATGAATTCAGTGTTACAGGTACGGTAACAAATCGCGTGTCAGCAAATATACCCACTCCTAGCTTTGGATGGTGGCAGTAACATTTCAAATCTTAAAGTTCCGAAGAAAAAACATCAGCAGCAAAAGCTCAAACCGCTGGGCTTTTATAAATCTAATTTTCTGACGGTTGCACACACTTCGCACTGCTTGAAGATTTCGAAACAATAATAAACGAATCAAAATGCACTGTGAAAGGCACAAAAATTGTATCAAAACAAAACGAGAAAAAAATAGACTACCACACATAGAAAAAGCACATACAAAATCACGTATAGGCAATGTTGGATGATCTCGGGGTGGCAATGAGTTTCAATAATCGATGCTGTAGTATGTGTCTAATGTGGGACAAAAAGAGACGGGTGTACAAGTACAAGAGTAAAGAAAAGACGAAGTCATAAAGAAAAAAGACAACACAATGGACTATTTGGGGCAAATCAGTCCGCGCATCATGTCCATGGAGTTTCCGTCCGGATGCAACGTGTACTCCGCACCATTCTGCACATCACGTACTCGCAGATAGCCAAATGCATCCAGGCCGATGATGATGCATGCACGAGGAACTCCGCCCTGAGCGACGGAGGGCGTTTGAACCAGTATTCTTTTATTTCTAGAGGGAAAAATAGAGTAAATGGGATGAGAATGATTTACGCCTTGGTAAACAGTTATGGGGCGCGCAAAACTAAATTGCAAACATATTAGGGCTCGAATACGAAAAGCGTCCTAAAACCTATCATTCACATAACTATGGCCAAACAACGGCAGCGTAAACTGAGTCTTACAGTTAAAAAAGTGTATGTCACATGGAAACCGAGGTTAAGATAAATCAGCGATTGTTGAAACAACTTTTGAGCCCGTGAATATCGCGCTAGAATAATCTCCATCCGTCCGAGAGACAGAAATATTGGCGTAGCAAAAACACATCAACTTGTTGTCTTAATACAGTCGAGGGTGAAAAAATATTTGCACTGGATCCGCTCATCTTTGAAAATACAATAAGCCATACAGTTAGTCAGGTCAATCGGGAGTCGAGAAGGTTTCGGGCTCCAACTGAATAAAAACCTGGGTGAATTGTGGCTGGAACAGACGGATACTAAAACGCGGATTACCGTACCAATCCTATTCGTTCATACGTGAACGTTCTTCCGATCCGGGCAGAACGTACAATGTGCTATGTCAAGAAAATCAATTCGAGCTATATTCGATTGTGGCTAAATCAGGGCAATGGTCAGGCTCAGTCAGGTAGTTCAGTAACCATACCACACACGAACAGAGGCAAGCGCGGCTTGGTCTTGCGCGAAAGCACATAACTACACCAAGATAATGGAAATGAGGTTCAGTTACAAAGACTCTTAGAGTACTAGCTCCAGAATAAGTACCGATCTTTCTCTGTCATGCGCGCGCCATTCGATTTAGCATACACATCTAGCGAATGGAATTGCAGGATAAACTGACGAGAGTTCCATCATTTAGGGACTTCGAAAGAAAACTGATGGCTGTTGGTATCGGGGAGAAATACCCAAACTGCGGGGAATACAAAATCACATCACATTACCCGTGTATCCAACAACGCATGTAAAGATTCATAAGCCAATCAAGTCCATGTGTTGCTTGCGGTCCCAAAACGCAATCGATCATACGTTCCAGCTGATTGAGTACCTGTGCCATCATTTCAGCAGGAGTGATTGGTGATGTTGACGGTTGTATGCGATCTAGTATTTGCTGCAAGCAAATAGACGGAGCAACGTTTTGAACATTGACACCGACACCTAGATTGGATAGAGAGGAAGGAAAACAAGTGTAAGCCCGTTTTCAAATAGTTATCACCAAAATCCCTGAGGAAGACTACTCGCAAACATTAGTTGTGCTATGCCGTAAAATGAAAGGTTTGGCCAGTTAACGAGTGATCGTGCAGAGAAGTGTGCTTACGTTCTACCTGTGAGGTCCCGGGTTTGATCACCCATTGGGTAAGTGGATTCGCACTCAATCGAAACAGCTGTTCAATGATTCTTAGATTTCCGGTTGACGCTTCATTTGCTCTATACACGACGAAATCCACCATAAATCGTAGGTTTTGTCAGGCGATCATCCAATTCGAAATTTGCGGTACTGAGGACATTCGAACAGCTTTAAAGTGATTCTCACTTTGTCAATTCAGGTAGGTTTGATATGGTATATGGTGATTCTAATTCTACAAATTTAACTCTCGAAATGTTCCATTCACCGCCTCGACTGCCGAAATCTTACCCGCCATCTGATCATGATTAGGGTATTTTTCACTGAATTGAGAGGGTAAGAAGTGAATCTTCAGATATGCAAGGAGTCACTGTCAGCTGACTCCTTGGGATTAATTGAAAAAGAACTCCGAATGAATCAGTTTCAGTTTGTACAACCATTACCCGTGCACTTTCGTGTGCCGGTTTTGGTTGCCGTCTTTTGGCTGCCCATTTGGATGAACAGTAGGAAAATGACACGAAGGTCGAAAGTGGAAACGAATAGAAAATGGAGAGTTTCGGTGCACTAAGAAGAAATTGAGATGCCCGAACGCCACTGTTTATGTACATAGTATATATGCTACACTCGTTTCTTGAGCAGTTATTGTTTAGCTCTACATCGATAAACTATCTCGATTAATTGTTACCTCACGAGTAACTCGGTCGTTTGTTTTGAATTTCGCGTTCAGGACTGCATTGCCACAACCGGGGATACCGCGGAATTCTATAAGAATAAGCCCTTGACGTTCCAATCACGATCATTAATCTTCATTCCTATACATGTAATGGTAAAATATGAGGGTGTTTTACAGTATTGGGTCAGCTGATGCCATGAGTCAAGCTAACCATTCAATAGGAACTGAGATTGATTTTGTTGCAATACATGTCATTATCGTACCCAAATCGGCGATCACACAGTCACTGTAGGTAACCTCGCTTAAAACCAGGGCCAGGAAGACCTACAGAGCGCATCAATGTAAAGTCATTGGTGCAGTATCATGATAGTCGGCCAACTTAAATGGGAGCTCGAACATACTGGAAGTACCATTTATATTTCGGTTCGAGAAAGCACTAATTTCATGACAACACGCTTGTGTTAGCTACACAAACATGAATGCTAGGTTGAATAGAGTTTTCAACTAGAGAAGTTAACGACAACAGGTCGTGAACCGGAATAACGTCAACCGGTTCCATTCAACGAAGAGGTACGTGGATCGACTTAGAAAGGGGAAACTAGCCGAAGGGTGCAGGATCCAACCGAATGGACATGGGGTCCGAAAAGATCGCGAACTCGGACCAAGATTACAGTAACTCATGGGTTCCATTATTTCTCTTTTCGAGGGCTCTACTGTTTGCCACACCCAGCCATATTGCAACGAGAAGGCGAGCTGGCTGGGAAAACGTCTATTGATCCAAATCAAAAACAAACAGTGTATGCATTCGATTATATACAGTCAATTCTCAACCGCGCGGTGGGATGATTCATGCCTCTTTCTGTGGGTCATTCGTTGTTGGTCTTGGTCCGCACTTGGCACGTACGTTGCCTCTTCTTCCGCGTGCCATTCCGACTGGTTTGACCCGATCGCGGCGCGAGATGCGTTGATCGACAGCTCCGACGTTCTGGCATTCGGTGGGTATCTTTCCCGTTAGCTGCGGATTGTCTTTCGGGCTGTAATTGTCGATTCACTCGTTTCGGGTGGCAGTTAACATTGTCTCGCGAGACACTTCCCGCCGCTGCGTCTGCGCGTCTGGTCGGATGGGCCCCATTCTTGCTTCGGTCGCTAGCCAGGACTCTCTTTGAACTGCCTTCCATCACAAAATCACTTAATGTCTCTAACCATCGGTGAACATCATCCCGAGGTCCCCAGTCAGGGAGTCTAATGGGACCAATGGGACCTAATATCCTGGTTAGGGTATTCATACCCTCATGCCAGGTCTTAGTTTGACCACCCTTGATCATTTTACAACCACTACCAGCCTTGGCAAACATCGCTCGCCGCGCCAACCTATTTGGTGACATGCGTAACACATGCCCCAATCAACGTAATCTATGCAGGTCGATCACTCACTCCAGTGAACGACCGCGAATGCCTAAATCTCTACGCCTAACCTCCGTACTGCTCATCCCGTTACCCCACCAGACTCGTGCAATGCGACGTAGACAGCGGTGTTCGAACACCGATAATCTATTTTTATCCTGTTCCCTTAGTGGCCAAGTCTCTGCACCATAGAGCAGGACTGGCCGAACTACTGCAGCATACACTCGACCCTTTACAGACAGCCGGATGTCACGACGGCGTCACAAATGTCTCAAGTTGGCAAATGCCAACCTAGCCTTCTGTATACGCATCGACACTTCATCTGGGATGCGTCCGCCGGGTGAGATATAGCTTCCTAGATAGCGAAATCTGTCTACTTCCACTACTACTTCCCCAGTTAGGGTGAGACTGGGTGCTGGATCAACCCAATCGTGTAGTAACATTTTACATTTTGAAGGTACGAAACGCATACCGAACATGGCAACACTAGCACTCTAACTATCCAGAAAAACTTGCAACTTACCTGGATCTTCAGTTAGTAGCACGTTGTTGTCTGCATAATCTAGATCGGCCAACATACCGCCTGGGAGTAAATCGATACCGTTATCGCCGCACGAGGATAGGGCCGTTTCAAGAATTGAATCTATCACGAAGTTAAATAGAAACAGAGACATAGGGCAACCCTGTCGAACACCACTTTCCGTGGTGAACTCGGGTGAAAAAGTGCCGTAAGCTCGGAATCGGCTTCGGCTATTAGTATAAAGCGATTATAATATTGCGATTAACTTCTCGAGCACTCCCTTTAATACAAGGCAGCGCCAGAGTTTACGAAGGTCGACTGAGTCAAAAGCCGCTTTTAGATCGAGGAAGATAGAAATGATGGGTCTACGAAAGGAGTGCCTGTTTTAGAATTTGACGAAATGTGAAAATGTGGTCAATACAGCCTCGACCAGGTCCGAAACTGGCCTGGTTCTCACGCGTACACCGTTCACTTGCGACAGACAATTGACGGAGTATGATGCCAGCGAGAAGTCTAGAGACAATGTTGGTTAAACTAATTCCTCTGTGGTTTTCACAAGAGGATCTGTCACGTTTCTTGTAAATCTGTATGATTACCGATTCACACCATTCAGTTAGAACCTGTTCTTTCTCCCACACTGAATCCAGGAGTTTTGTTAGCTCGAGAACCAAGGCTGAGCCTCCATCCTTAAAAACGGATGGGGACAGCCCGTCGGGGCCGGAAGCTTTATACAGTTTGAGGTGACTTATTTCCCGGGTAACCTTCATTTCATATGGAGGACTGATGTCAACTGGCAATATTTGCACAGTTGAACCGGGTGGGAGGAGGTCTAGCGTCGAAGGGGATCAGCTAAACTGTGCCTTAAAGTGTTCAGCCCAACGTTCGAGACGACGTTTCTGAATTTGAGTCAGTGTGCCGTCAAACTCTATAATTAACTCATTTACACCCGCTTTTCTTGGTCCTGTACTCCTAATTAAACGAAAAAGATTGCGACTAGTACGGTTAGTCACAGCCTTCGGCATATCTGTGCACCTCCCTATCCACCATTCTCGCGGTCATTCCTCAGACTCTTGATGAGCTGGCGTTTAAGGGATTTGAGCGTTTTGTCGTATTTTGA